TACTTGTTAATATTTTTTTCCAGAATCAATAGAAAAATCGGATTTTTATATTATTGACAATCTATCAGGAACCGGGAATTTTGATGTCTGAAACGATGTGCTAATGTAAAAATGTGTTTTACAAAAAATAAGACAAGAATTAATTCCAGCAAGAACACTACGGAAGTTGACACACTGTTATCTCCAAGTGAACACTTGAAAAGCTATCGCATCGAGAAAGTTAATTTCGATTTGCCAGATGATCGTCAGATTCAATGGGAAAAAGATGGTGGTATTTTTATTGCGAAATTGATATAAAAGTTGGCTTTGTTTAGTAGTCATTATAATTGTTGACTCGATTTTGCATTTACAGATATAACAATAAGTAATTCTGCCAGTTACAATACCGAAGTGATACCATCTACAAGTTCAATAGAAGTTAGAGACCAGAGTTCCAAGCAAATCGGGAAGCATATTGATGACTCATCAACCGATTCTTCTTCAGATACAGAAAGTACATGTTCCTCAGACACTTCCAGTTCAACTTCAAATAAGGACAGTGATGAATCGGTGAAAGATCCAGATTTTGAACTTGAGCAACGTCGTTCCATTAAAATCTCTGACGATTCCGAAATTGAAGACAACGTTGGTACCCAAACTAACTTCGAAGCTACACCCGCAACTAAATCTTAAGCACCAACATTGAACTCAAGCCCAGATGATACGCCAATACCAGACACGAAAAAACGAAGTAGAAAATGTGTAGCTAAACCAACAGAATGGTTACAAAATAAATGTCAAATCCTTAGAAATGCAGGATCTGCTTACGTAACACTAAAAACAAAGGTGAAGAAGGATGCTAGTAAATCTAAGCCACCGTGTAGCGAACGCTGTCGGTTAAAGTGCAAAGAAAATTTTTCAGAAGTATGAACGTAAGAATTTAAAGATATTAACCACCAAAGAGATGTTATCAGCAGGCATATGGCGCCAATAAAATGAAAATATTGATACAAGATTACTCAAAAAGGGTGACAACTAAATCATGCATTTTACTTGACCACCAGAATGGGATGTCAAATACAAATCTGCAAGACATTCTTCATGAATAAATACAATAGACATCAATAATAGAGTAATACAGACTGTAATCAAGAGAGTGCATCTGCTGGTTCCGTTGAAGAGGACAATAGAGGCAAACATCACAGTCATCACTTTGCCTGATTGTGTTAAGGAATCCATTTGGAACCACATTAAGCCATTATTTGCGACTGCAAACTGCAAGGGAGTTCATTGAGGGTGGAAAAAAAATAGGTGATCTTCATCGTGAGTACCTACGTAGAAGAACGTGAGCGTAATAATAGACCTCACAGCAATTATGTAATATATGCCAAAAAATTTAACACAGAGTTCAATTTAGGTTTTGTTTGAGCCAAAAAAGAATTAATGTGAGCTGTGTGTTGCTTATGAAAACGCAGAGGACAAACAACATCTTCAACAGATGTATGATCAACACCTTTTGGAAAAGCAGTTGTCACGACAGTTAAAACAGTGCGACAAAGACCACGCTTTGGAAACAAATATAGAAGCAGTTTATGATCGTCAAGCTGTTCCGCCAGTTCCAAAAGGTGACGTATCTGTTTTTTACTACAAAAGTAAATTGAACTGATTTAACTTTACGGTGTCCGACCTTGCAACTAAAACAACTGAAAGTTACTTCTGGCATGAGGGCACAGGTAATCGTGGTTCTGATGAAATTGGCAGTTGTATTCTCCAGTTTATAGAAAAAAGATTGTCTCAAATCAATGATGGTTTTGCTATTGACATAACCTTTTATTCAGACAACTGCGGAGGACAAAATAAAAACAAGTTTATAATGGCTATATACGCCTATTGTGTACTTAAATACGATAAACTGAAATCTATTACACACAAATTTTTAGTGACGGGACATACTCAAAATGAAGGCGATTCAGTTCATTCGGTAATTGAGAAATGCATTAAAAGGAGATTTAAATCTGGCCCAATTTACGTGCCTTGTCAATATACACAAAATACTCGATGAATGAGCTTTCATTTAATGACTTTATATCCCTGAACAAATTACATGCAGAATTACGCTCTAGTTCGGTAAAAGACGTCAGGGACACCTTGTGTTCTTTATTACAAGAACTCTTATGAACACGAAGGATTTTCAGAAGTTAAAATTTGGCGAACACCCTGAGGTTCTGCCTGAACTAAAACCTGCTTACATCAGACAGCTCTCAATAAGCGAGAGGAAGAAAGCTGATTTGATGAGTTTGATTAATAGCACTCATATATCACAGTTTTATGCGCCTTTTTAAAAGAAAATAATCATCGAAATCAAAAAGAAAACATAAAAAACATACAGTCGAATTGAGTACCTCCTCCTTTTTGAAGTCGGCACAAAACCTGATTAGAAGCGTTCGATTTAAAAATAGCTAATATTTCAAGTTATTCTGCAGATAACTGAAATGTTAATTTTGGAATCCATGACTCCATATATCAACTTCTTTTGAAAGAAAACGCAAATACGTTTCCTGCAGGATGCCTAGCTCATCTTTTGCATAATACGGTAAAATATGGTGATAGAAGTGTGATTTTGACATTGAAAATCTGCTGTTGTTTACGGTCATTTATCGTACCATTCACAAAGAGTGCATAAACTAAAGGAGTTTTTAAGGACGTTGATTTAGAATATCAAAATGTAACGAGACATGTTACCACTCGTTGCTCTCTTTGTACCCTGCCGTAGAAAAGCTTTTAGGCAGCCTTACAGTTCTGAAAGAATACTTTTTGTCACTTGGAGAAAATTGCCTAGTCGCATTACTGAAAAATTTTGCTAATGACAATATTAAATAAAAAAAACTGAATGCTATCTTGGCTTTTTTCACATTACGCTATGAATTTTCCAAGATTCTATATTGCTTTTAAAGAAGGATGAAGCGCTATGTTGCGAAACTTTTGATATTATAAATGGCTTACGCAATAAAATAAAACAACGGATTGACGATGAATTTGTTGCATTTACTTGTTCTAATGCAATGAACAATTTAGATTTAGAATTTGAACATAGAGTCAACAAAAAAATCTTGTGATATTCTAAAAAAACGCGTTGAAATATTTAGAAAATCGTTTTGACTTCTAGGACAATAATCACCTGTCAGTATTAAGAATATTCTCATTGAAATCGATGTTTAGTTTTTCGGAACTCACAGAAGTTCAAATAACTTAAAACTGATTGATCGATTGGATATGGATAAATTTTACGATGAGTATTGTGTTATTAAGGATATGTTAGTCATTAATAGAAGAAAAACAAAAATCAGCCCCTGAAAAAGTATTGGGTGCTTATGAACAATGGCACATATGTCCATGAAGGAGGCACCTAGCTTTCTACACATCTTTCAGATGGTATCTTCGATACCACCTTCAAATACAGCCGAGTGTTTTCTCTCTGTGGAAATGCATGGACAGACAGCATAAACAAGCTATCTGTCGACCACGGCAAGGCTGACTACAAATTAAAATTAATTTTGATCAAAAATGCAGTAAATTTTATAATTACGAATTGCAAAACAAAAACTTGTTAAAATTCGCAAATTCTCAAAATAAGTACAGTTTTAAAACAAAAAATAAATTAAATTTAAAAAGTTTGTAAAACATTTGTATTGTTTTTTATTAAATATTAAATAATATATAGTGTTTATTTAAGTTGTATGTGGTGTGTTGTGTTCCGCGTAATATACCCGTTCCGGATGTCGAGCTGGGTAATCCCGGGAAATGCCTTTTTTGGAGCAAGCCTACCTGTAATCTTACTATTAAGCATTATTTAAGCATTATTTCCTTAAGGAGAACATTAAATCAAATATTATTTCAGCGTAACTTAATTAAGTACTACCTGAACTTGTACTGGAAAGTGATTCTATAAAACTGTGATGCCTAGAATTGTTTACATTTTTATTTTTATTACAATTTGTCTACAGCTATATAAATACTTGTTAAGTTAAAAAAAGTTTAAAGAACTGCCTGATTTTTATTACAATAAGAATTGTTGCATTTATCATACTGTATTTTTGTTAGTAAAAGTTCAAATAGTTATCTAAAATACTGTTACAATTAGGAATTTTCAAGTAGTTTTTCAGGAAATTTGAAAAACAGTTTATGTAATTTAAACATGTTTTTGTAAACTTTTCAATTATATATAATTTGTATCACATTCACATTATACTATACTACAAGAATAAAGACTGTATAACGAATCCATGAGTATATATTCTCGCTTTTCTAAAAATCCAGGTTTTTCAAGTTGTAACCCCACCCTAACCTATTATCGGAGGTGCGATATGGGGCAGTGAATATTCTTACACCGCCGCTACACTTTTAACACGGTTAGACAACAAGTGGCTTAGGGAAAATATGAGAAAGGCAGAAGAAGACGATGAAAACTTGCGAGTCAACCTAGAATAGTTGAAAATAGGAGGAAAACCTCAATGGGGAGACGTATTACCTCTATTTATCCTCCTATTACAAAAAGTAATTGGGCTCAATAGGCTAGCTTGGCCCTAGAAAATGAAATTTTATACAGGAAATGGGAGTCTAGTGAAGGTGGTGATGTTACAATGCAGGTGATAGTTCCCAAAAGTAATGTATGTTCTGTATTGCGACAAAAACTTACAGACTATATACTTACATCCCACTTGTGAGCACAGGCCTCCCTTCATGACTGAGAGGGTTTTAGGGCAAGGCAGTGTCAAATGCGTGTTGCTGGAGTTCACATATGTTCGAAATATATTTTTTAAATTTGACAGACAAGCATGTTTACTCACGATGTTTTCCTTCATTGCCGAGCACGTAGTAAATAAATACATTAAATTGCAATTAACAATTTTGCTAGTGCTGGTGGGAATAAAACACGGCCTGCTCTCGTGTTGTTAAATTAACAGTACGCGATCTACCACGGATCTTTAATTTTTTTTTTAATATTTAAAAAAGTTAATTACCTAATAAATTCTCCTGATCAACTCCCAAGTAGAATCCAAATATGATACATGCACAACACAAAACACATCTAAAAGATGTGGTTTGCCGTAGCAGTATCCAGCTGAACACAACATTGAAGACTGTTGTTAACGACCTGCCGATGTAGTAAAATGCAACACCAACGTACTTCAAGCACATGTTGTTTGTCGCAATCATTAATGTGAACATAATTGATAGGGGAATCACCTAAAAATGGAGTTAATTATGAGTAATATATATTATCTTGTTTTAAAATTATACTAAGTTCATCCGTTCCAATACAGACTAAATTATCCTTTGAACAATAAAGGTTAACATAATATTAAAAACACCTGGATACTTAGCCTTACTTTGTGTAATAATATGCAGATTAACTTTTGAGGGAAAATAAAAAATTGAAGATGTTCCCTTTTTATTTGGTAAAATAATAATAATATTATATTATTTTATTTGGTAATTTCTTGTAGTGTTGAAATTACATTGCTTCAGGCTATATTTAGCTTTATCACTTCATCAGACATGGGTAAGTAAGAATGCCAAGCGAGTCCTGCTCTGTTGGTAGCTTCTGATTACCATTACAGCCTATGAAAAGTTGAACCTGAACATTGGTCTCCCCATAGATTGCCGCATTAGACATAGTTACGACGCTTGGCTGGCGGGATGGCAACTGCAGTTATTCCTCCATCTTATTTCCCTCTATCGCCTCTTATGACACCCATGGATATGGAGTATTGGATATTCATGCACCCCCACTATGCTTTTTTATTATTTGGAAATTATTGGCATGGTCAAAAATCTTCCAACAATTTAATTATTATGAGAACAAATGTACAGGTGCTCTATTTGAACCCCAGCAGAAGCAAACACTTGTGTAAAAATTAAAACACAAGAATTATTTAACTTCTTCACAATACATATTCTTCTATAGAAAATATCAGGTATTTGGAGACTAATGTAATTTAATTTTCTTTTATACCATTACAACCAAGCAAAGATAACTTTTTTACACGGTAGAGCCATTCTGCAGCTAAATTAGTATTATAAGTTGTAGCACTAATGAGGTTGGCTAAACCGGGGAAGGATCACACTCACAGAATACCAGCATAAAATAGCAGCTTAACGCTGCTGTGTTTTGTATGGTGAATGTAGAGAACCAGAGACCCTTTTTAATGGAAAGGAGGCATTCCATCTCAGTCTTCATGGGTGACATTTTGATTCGCAAACGAGGATAGATGTAAATGCCTATCAGCCACAGCAACCACTTAACATCAGGTGGACCGTGTGCGTTCATTTATGTTAGAACTCAAAGTGAATTATTTGAATATTTAATACCGAAATATAAGAAATATAATTAAAATAATTATGTAATTGAATTAAATGCTTTCCCCTTACAATAATTAAATTTCTTATTCATTAACCACTTATGGCAACAGCTTGTCTTGTACCCTATTCTAGTCAATATCAATATTTATTATAAATAACATTCTTAACATTTGTTTCTGGAATTTCAATACTAGATGTCACTGTGGTCTGTGCATATATGCCATTGTTTTGAACCAACTTCAAAAAAAGGAGGTTCTCAATTCAACTGCTTTTTTTATGTGTTTCCTCAGAACTTTTTTCTAGGTGAACTGATTTTGATGATTCTTTTTTTATTTGAATGCTGGTGCTTTTTATATGGTCCCACGTAAATTTGATCAAGATCTGAAGAGTAGTTATCTGTTGATGATGTTCTCATATTATTTATAATGAAGTTGGTTGTAAAAAAAATATTTTACCACTTATGGTCAAGTGGTGTGTTGGAGCTTTCTGATAATTCCCATAATCACTTTTTAAAAGACTCAAATTAAAAAATTCATACACTATACTACAACCTTACCTCCCTTACAACTTTAAAGCTCCATGGTGATCCTTTTGGAAAATTGAATATACCTGGAACACCACCAATTCTACTTAACATAAAACATATACTGAAGGATACCACACATTGAAACCAAGTAATAAATAGAGGGGCATCTAATTTAACTGAGTCGCTACTTAATAATGTTTTATTCACAAACACTGTAGCAATTGATATAATCCTGAAACAAACAGTTAAACTATAAAAGACATTAAAACCTATTGTTTATAACATGTATGTATTATGTACTTGAAAGAAATTTTGATTTAAAATAGAAGTGTGCAAAAAAGTCATGCCAATATAATAGTTTAATATGAAATTTACGACTTTTATTGATAAATAAATACAGGATAATATATACAACTGTAAGGGCATTATTATTACTACTAAAATTGTAATTATTAGTCTATAAAGCAATAAGTACCAATTCGTTAATGTTTTTTTTATTTTTAAATGAACTATATTAAGTACCTACCTACGTAGGATTAAGATTAAGTAGTAATCTTTGGATATTTAACTTTTTAGTTTTAATTTAATTTCAGTATGGTATTAAATATAGTTTTTTAATGTTATTTAAAAACTTGCTTTATTGTGTAGTATAAGTTGTAAAGCTGTAGCAAAACAAATATTTGGCTTACCAATAACAAGAAACCACAATAAATATTTTTACATATCTTGAACATAAGTCACCCTGATGTTCTTTCATTTTTTCTTCACTTCTCGATAATATGTCATAAATATTAACTAAACATTATAAATATTTCATCGTTTTAAATTACTATCCTAGTGTTGAAACTAATAAATGTACATACTTCAGAAATGCAACATCAATAAAACCGGAATTATCCTGGGATTGTAAAATTGAAATTATCAATTGACACATTGACAATTGAAGAGTAACGTAGTGATGGAATCAAGCCATCGAGTCACTCGAGTGATATTTATGACAACTCGGGTTACGACTGACTCGAGTCAACTTGATTGACTCGGACCACTCGAGTTGCTTGTACCGAAGTTTTAGCCGATGTATCTTCCACTTGAAATTAAGTACAAATGTGAGTTGATTGTATTTAGTAATATGTTTATTTAAGACTGTTTGCTATTCGTACGTGCTCGAAATGAGTAAGAGTTCCAAAAAAGCTATAGTGTGGTCATTTACGACAAAAATGTTGAACAAAAACCAGTTATTTGTAAGTTGTGCAAGAAAAGTTACAAAGACTATGGTAGATGAGAGTATTCAACCAACTTGATTTCTCACAATTTAAAGAATAAATATCCGATTCAGTTCAAGAATAATATGCAAAAATAAATAAGGGTGAGTAAGTTCATCTCACGCATGTTCTTCAACTAAGGAAGCAGATAGTTTTGCTTCCACGTCTGCTGATTCCAATTCTACATCAAAGGAACGGCGTTTTCAGCAACTACAGCATGGCCTTGCGGCCTAATTCATCGCTTATTAAGAAGAAACAAAAAAAATCTTTAGCTCTAACCAATTGATTTGTCAAAACTTACAAACTTTGTAAGGTTTAATTAGTTTTTGACAGGCGAGTAACTCGAGTGAAAAAAAGTCACTCAAGTTTTATCTCCATTCGAGTGGCACTCGAGTGACCAGGCTATCACTGGCGAGTAACTCGAGTGAAAAAATGTCACTCGAGTCCCATGACTAGGAGTAAGAACATTAACATTGTCATTGTCAATGTCCTTACTCCTTTACTCTTTACTTATGCAGAGTTTACACGGCCTTAGTATTTGTCACTTACACTAATACCCAATGTGTAAACATACTGAATTAGTGCTTTGTATTAGTGTTTGTCCCAGTGCAAATGGTCCTATTTACTTAGCAACAAGTCGATACCTCTACCTCAATTTACTAAGCACTTGTCGCTTGTTGACCGTGTGTTAAGACGGCTACTGACCTGCCTGCCGCAGGGGCAATCACAAACTATATAGAAACACTACGGGGGCAATCTAGGGAGCACAGCGATCGGAGCTGTCTCTACACAGACGCCTGCCATTCAGTATGAGAGTGTACGTCTCGCTGGACTCACGCGTTGAGAATGGCGCCAGTTTTATCGAAATATCAATGAATCAGTATATATAGCTTTGGCTCTTTTTTATATAGAATAAGGGTGACAAATGAGCACAGTTCACCTGATGGTAAGTGGACACTGTGGCCTATAGAGACCCACATTTAAGAATAAAACAACCAATTAATTAATAATTACAACCATAATATAGTGCTTAGAAGCTGCAGCATAGCTCTGCCACGCTATTTTTAGGCTGTCAAAGACAATTAAATATGACTAACTTTACTCGTCATAATTTAATATAACCAATTTATTCTGTGATATAACTTAACTATCTAGTGCTTAGTAACTATAATTTAACTAGTGTTACAAATAGCCAGGATAGTTTTCTAATGATGGTTTTAATAAAATTTAATTACTAAAATTTGAATTTTTGTTTAATTATTTATTTAATGACATTTTATTTATATTCCAGCAATTTGAATATTATTGGAATATTTTCTTTCCCATACTAGCCCTTATGATAAGTTAGGTAACAAATCCTAGTAATGTTACTTCTAAGTTACAACGTTCAAATAACATTCTTTCTGCGGGTGTGACTTGTACTCATACGTGTGCTCCGCGCGAAAGTAGCAACGAACTGATTGAAATTGCTCCAATTTTTTTTTTATAGGAGAGGGGGCAAACGAGCATGCGGCTCACCTGATAGTAAGTGACTACCGCCGCCCATGAACAACTGCAACACCAGGGAAAGAATTGCAGATGCGTTGTCGGCCTTTTAAAAAGGAGTACGCTTTTTTCTTGAAGGTCCCTAAGTCGTATAAAATAAAATAAAATAAAAATTAGGCTACAAACGCGACAGCGGCAGGACCAATCTAGGGAGGAAGGAAGGTCTTGCGCTCCTGCCGCCCTGCCGCAGGGCCGACTTAAAAAATTGCCCCTGCTTGCCTACACACATCACAATTAAGGAGGCAATTAAGAGTCATCCCCACTCTTACACCCTAGATTGCCCCTGCGGCAGGCAACAGGCATGTCAGTAGCCACCTTTAAACAGCCACGACAAGTGCTTGGTGACAAATTGCACTGGCAAGTGAAAAGACGTGTGTTGTTAACGTATTTAGGTTATATTTTCGCAATCTTTTCGTAATTATGGCGCCGAAAAGATGGAATTCCGAAACAACAATAAAATTTATCTAAGAATTTAAATCCTAGGAATGTTTATGGAACTAAAAATCGGTTTCATTTAAAAATAGATAAGCGAAAGAAGCTGCATATTATTGGTTACGGAGTTCCCGAGGCAAAAACTTCGGTCAACATATTACCAGGAAAAGAAAAAGATACATATGATATTGTATACGTGCTAAATGTACCATTATACAAAGAAATGGATTGTTTGTTGAAAGACGTAAATTAAAGGCACACAACTATAGAAAATGTAAGGAATAAAATATCATATTTTGCATGATATGAGATTTATTTCGAAATAAGTACGTATCTTAACCTCTTGTTTGCACTGACGCCACGATGGCTCCGCGGCACACGCGGTAGGCTTTTCATTTTATTTGTTCTACTAGGTTTTAGCCTGTCTTTTGCATTGCAGACGAAAGGTTATATAAACTAATTAATCATTCTAGATTGCTACGAGATTGTACCTTTAGTTACAAAGTACCTCATATAACTTTCTCTTAATTGTCGGGCCATTCTGGGTGAGTGATTACTACCTATTTGCTGAACACTTTACAAATTTAAATTGTCGTTTCTCCATGATCCTCGTATAATTTCTTCAGTATCCAGTCAACACGCATCCTAGTTAGGTATGTACTTAAAGTTTTTCTGAGCAAGTTATATAAAGTACATGATGTACGAACAATTTGATCAATAACTGTGACGTTTGTTGGTATTGGTCTTCCTAGAATTCTAAAGTGACTGACGAAGATGCCAAAAGCGTTTTGGGCGATTGTTCGGGTTCTATACAATTGATAATTAAAAAATTCTGTGGCTACGTCAAAGGACTATGCTTGTAAGGTTTTAACAAATATGTTTTTAGAGGAAAAGCGTCATATCCAACAAAAAATCCACCGTTTGGTAGAAAATTGTTTTCGAGATCACGAAATATTGAACAGTTCTGAAAAACGCCGACATCTGAGCATCTTCCGTTTGCTTCAATATTTGTATATACAAAACAGTAATTATCATCGACGACGGCTATTAGTATAATGCTATTACTTCCTTTATAATTGTAGTTATCACTGCCACAGTTAGGTGGTGCTTGAATATTTACGTGTTTGCTATCTATAGCATCATAAACCCCTGGAAAGTAGTAATGCGTATTGAAATCCCTTTCTACTTTCTTAAATTCTTCAAGTGAAGCAGGAATCTGAATTTTTTTTTAATTTATTTATTAATGTATTTATGAATTAGTGGTGTTACTTAATTCTAAACTCGCCAAACTTTTACGTTTGATAGCGAGAGGCGCTCTTTTACAAAACAATGAACCACCTTATGTACTACTAATATTAGACACAATGATACACAATTATATAATATAGTAATATATAAACCTATGACATCTTAATGTTATGTTAACTATATATCTTTATATACATCTAACTTTAATTATATGCATTAAATATCTAGTACTTATATATTATATTGTAATATTTTAATCTAATACAATGTACTCGTATATAGAGTTCTATTAACAATCCTGTATAATGTTTTTAAATTTTTTCTTAAGTGATCCTTTACTAATTTTTACTTTTTCTCTTAGTAGATCTATTTTGTTAAACACTTTAGCTACCAAATACTTAGATGTTCTCTTACCATAATAGTTCGTTATTTTTGGTAGAACCAGTTTGTTTTCTCTAACCCTATGTGTGTTGTACTTGTTTTTAACATTCACTTTATATTTCTCATTATAATAATATTCCAGACCTATCAAATATTCTACTTTTTTATCTATGGGTATTACTATTATTTTACAAATGGAAAACAACTTATCATAGTCTTTGTTGCAATTATCTTTAACATTTTTACAGTCTTATTTGTATGTCTGATATCTCTTAGATATGTAATAAAGGTTCGCCCGTATTCAAGGAGTCCATAACTCATTAGCGAGTCAGCTAGTGCAAAATATACTATTTTTAACGTTTTTTTGTTCAATACATTTTTTAATTGGTAAAACTTACTTAATACAGATCTTAGCCTATTGCAAATGTCATTTATATGTATTCTCCAGTTAAAGTTCTTATCTATTGTTAGACCTAAACATTTAAATTTATCTACATAATCCAATCTTTTACAGTTACAGTAAAATTTATTTCTATGCATACATTCGTATATATGTCCTATCACTGTTAGATCTTCATTTTTTACACATTTAGCATTTCGATTATATGGCGAGTGTATATGTATACATTTAGTTTTTTCAAGATTTAATATAATGCCATTGTCGTGGGCCCATTTGCTAATGTTTTGAAAATCACCTTGTATGCACTTTTGTACCTCAGCTATATCTTTGGATGCATAAACAAGACACATATCATCAGCATACATGAACACCTTACAGTTATACACGACATTTGACACAGTATTCACATAAATTATATACCCCACAGGGCCATATACCGATCTAGTAGGCACACCCGAATTGACATCCGCCTCTTTCCAAACCACTTGG